AAAAAAAAAAAAAAAATTAAAGGTTGCCATAAACATGGGCCAATATGGTAAGTGCACTGTATGTTTATTGAATGAATAAACATTGGGCAGAGAGACATGTAGCTGACCTCCTGGGGGTGACCCTGGACCTGAAGCACTGGCTGGTTCCATAGCCCCCCAGGGTCCATTGGGACAGAGACACCACATCCCTCCACAACCCAGTACCTAAAGAATCCCGTTTTCAGGCCATAGCTTCGGAGGATACATTCCGTGAAGGCACAAGTGGAGCCCTTGAAAGAAAAGGGATTGTCTGGGCAGGCTCTACCCCACCAGCCACTTAATAGATCCCATACCCCTGGGTCCTGCCCCTCACCTTCCCCTTCGTCCCAGTGACGTGGATGATGTTCAGCCGGTCCAAGTCCTCCACCTGGGACAGACAGACAAGGTCCCCACCTCAGCTACGGGAATCACTAATGGGGGTGGGAGGTGGTCACTGGCTCTCTCTACCTTACCTGCAGCCCACTCCGTGCCAGGTACAGTTCCATGGCTTCCAGCTGTGTCTGGGGGTCACCCCGCTGGCGCTTCACCTGCTCCAGGTAGCCGGCATTGGTCTGCAGGGTATTAAGCATGCGCACGGCATCCTGGCAACCACAGTGCCCAGGTGGCAGGTTAAGGCTCACTCAGGGTCCACAGGCACAGAGACACCCAGCAGACCAGTGGCCAAGCCAGGGCAACAAGGCCAGTACCAGGCCTCCCTGCCGTGCCAGCCCCGTTACTTAGCCTGTAGGTTAAGCAACAGAGAGTATGGCATCTTTCCAGCTCTGGCAAATAGGGGAGCCTAGGGCAATTCAGCCCCACCCAGGGAGTGCCACACAAAGAAGATGGCATGACTAACGGGCTAGCCTTCCTTCCTGCCCAGGCTCCCCCGACTTTACTCCTGGGCCTTTGCCCTCATTCTCTCCAGTGGGGTCCATTGCTATATTGCTCCCTGCCAGGGCGGGGTCAGAACTACAGAAGGTTGGGGTATTCGAATTCTGGAGTTCCCCGAAGCTCCATCCCAACCTTCATGATTCTGGGGTTCCACATTCCAACCCACAGAAGAGCAACTGAGAGGAAGGAGGGGTGTGCCGGGGGTCACTCAGCCAGGAAGGCAGGTAGGTACTGCTTCAGGAGGGTTCACAATGGAAGTGGGAGTGGGGGTGCTATTTCCTTCCCCTTAGGCCTCATATTCCGTGCCTCCCACCCTCAGGACCTCAAGGCTGGCTGGAGGCCCCACCTTCATCAAACCAGTGCCACCCGTTTGACTGGCATCAGGTTCTGGTTTAGGGCAACTGGCTCTTGACACAGCGCCCGCGGACATTTTCTGTTTTCCAGGTTCTGGGGCCCTCCACTACCCCTGATTCCTGCCCGTCCCCCAATTCCAGGCACTTGGATCCCCAATCTTCTGAATCCTGGACACCCCACCCCCAGATCAATACTCCTGGATCTTTCAAGCCTGAATTCCTGAGTCTCTTCCCTCCCCTCTTTCCCCACTCCCACTGCCGGTTCAGACTCCGGGATCACTGGAACTCCAGCACCACCGCTGAGCCTCTGGGCTTCTGAATCCTAGCTCCAGCGACCCTTCCCACTCTCCAACCCGGGGCGGGGTCGCTAGAGTCTCCCAATTCCCAGACCCGGGCCCAACTTCCTGGTCCCTGTCCCCACCCCCAGACTCCAGGATGTTCCGCCTCCCGAGTCCCCCAGTCCAGGACTCCCGGTACCCTCTCGGCTAGCGGAGCCCGGATGTTCTGTGGCTCAGCGCAGGCCCACGTGTCGTCGCGCCCCAGCCCGCAGGCCCGCCTGATACCTGGTACTCCATGCTGGGCTCCT